CTTTTTCATTTACAAACAACATGGCATAACTTCCTTTGTTTTACATTACCCGGGATCAGGTGCAAAACAATAACAAAAGAGACTTTGCATAGAAAGCAAGAATATTTATGAAGGAAACGAACAACCAAACAAAAAATAAATTAATTAATTAAATAAATAAAAAAGAGACAAAGAGCTAGGGCTTTGTTTTCAAATCATACTTTTCAAAAAGATTAAGGAGTTTCATTTAGGGCTGAAACGATTCCTCAAGTACCTCGAATAATTCGAGTACAAAAAATCCTCGAGTCAAATTCTCTGCCTCGAGGATTCGTTTAATTCATATTTAATTAATTCATGGCTTTGCAGTCGCCCGTGGTCATGTTTCACCCGGACTGAAATAAGTGACGCACATGCCCACTGGACTGAAACGCACACGCGAGTAGGGAATGTAACTTAACTTTCTCTTAAGCTATGGCGGACAACGTGGACCCCGGTGGAGTGCGAAAAAGACAGAAAATGTCAAGACGTGAGACCATTTTTCACGTCGTAAGGTGGAAAACGTAGTCCAGTGAAACTACTGTAAAATGGATTTAGCCTACCACAACACCACATCCTCCGTGCTGCAGCACCTGTAAATGTCACTTCTGCAAGCGGACTCGGAGCCTCTACAAGATAATGCTTTTTAGCCTGTATTTCTATATATTCTGCGAACACTGTGCGACTTTTTCGTTTGTAGCACTCAAGTTTCAGCTCACACCGTTCGTCTGGTAGCAACACGTTAGACTTAAAATGTGCTAAAAAATAGCATTTTTACACAAAACGTCGGACTTTTACTGTGTTGTTATTGATATTTGTTGTCCCTCGGGATTGCTGCAGGAGGACTGGTATTTATGAGAGGAAAACGAAAGAAAGTAAATAAATGTTTTGTGATCAGTATGATTTGACAAAAGCACGGCAAACATGCTTTCTCGACAATCCTTGTTATTGTGTGAGAAAAAAAAGTGTAGAAATTAAAACGGACGTGTGTTAATAGGGAAACAGCCGGCGAGCTGTTTGCGCATGCGCCGTGAGCGGTTCTGGTTCTGTTTGGGCCGCAGCCGCCCGCAGCGCTACTTCAACAGTTATCCTCTGGCTTGCAGGCTAGCAGATTCTCGCACGAGGGGAAAATCGGCTCAGGGTTGTGTACTTATTTTTTGCACAGGTATTTGTTTACTGTGAAGCAAAGTTGAAGTGCTGAAGTTTTGCAAACTAATTTTGAATAAAACTTGAAGAATAACTGGCAACTGCTTGCTCATTTTAAGAGGTCTTTCATAATTATAACATGCTATTTGATATAATGGTTTACAAACACAAAAGGGTAATTTATTAGAGTACTCGAATAATCGAAAAAAATATTCGATAGAGTACTCGATTACAAAAATATTCGATAGCTGCAGCCCTAGTTCATACAACCCCTGCTGCTGCTCTCCAGAGTGTTCTGCAGCATAATCAGCATGTTCTCTTTGAACTTGATAGTGTAATGACCTGGCTGGGGTTGTAAGCCAAGTGCATTCTGGGTATTGTGTTATATGTGTTTCCTATCGTTCTGCTAGTTACTATGTGTTGATTTGCGTGTTGTGTGAGTGTTATGTAAGCCACAGGGAAGGTGATGTGTTCTGTGGAGCGGGTTGAATTAGCATGGTTAACTGACACCGTGACTCTGTGTGGTAGGAGCGTGATAGATGATCGTGTCTGTAGCGTTACAAAGCGTTGAAGAAAAAGCCTAATAAAGGTCTGTGTTAACCTCTATTGCCTCCTGCTGGTTGATTTGGGGACAATAACCCTGCCGTTGAGACGCTCATACTTGCTTGTTACCACATTCCACCCGGCCACAATAAGAGACCGGCCATTATTCACCTCCGCTGACTCCGACACTGGCCAAAATTGGAGACCCGGCCTTTAATTGAATACCGGCCTGTATTAGAGGATTTACGGTAAGTCATTGTTTTTCTCTAATTGAGTTGAGAAGCAGATCATTTTTGTGAATCAGTTGTATAATAGTAATGGGCAGCTTATGTCTTACACAGAACTCCTAAACACATAAATTTCCAGCAACTCCCAAAGAATATGCCATGCTGTTTGCCGCAATATCTATGGGTATCAGAATGCTGTTTAAAGGTGTTCTACCAGTTGTACCGCCTATTTCTCTTCCCGACCCTGTGAACACATACATAGGAAAAGTTTGTCTTACCGAGCATAAAAACAGTAATAGGAATATTCGTGCTTTATTTCAGAGAGAATCCTTATCTGTTCCATATGGGATTTTTATTGGAATTCCTTTGTCACTGACATCAGTTGGAAAAGAGTACGGACCATTCCTAATAAGTATTATGTGACAAATAAGGTCAAAGAAGTTTCATTCAAAATACTTCATAAGTGTTACCCAGCTAATCACTATATGACAAAGTTTAAGAGGGACATTGATGTGAATTGCTGTTTTTGTGGAAGCCACCCTGAGACCGTTCAGCACCTCTTCTGGACCTGTTCACATGCTACAACGTTTTGGAAAGACTTTAGCAGATTTATTATCGGACAGCTCTACAAGGACTTCGTTTTAAAATGGGAAAATGTTGTATTTTGTTTTTTTCACAAGCATAGAGAGGAAGATGTATACTTTGTTATAAATTTGTTAATTATTCTAGCTAAATTCTATCTCCACAAATGCAAGTATAGTAACCAAAAACCCAATTTCAAGCACTATAATAGTGACACTCTATCTTACATAAAATTGATTAGTGGATCACTAAACAAAAAAGCTTTAAAAACTATAACTATTTGTACCACCTATAATTTATTTGGATGTGTGTAACATTTCTGTAGTGCACCCCCTGGCACTGGTTTCATCTTCTTTGTTCAATTTTGTATGCAACTTGTTTGTATACTTATCACCTTGTTCAATAAAGTTTTGGAAAAAAATAAATTAAAAAAAGTAGTGGCGGCAGGTGGCCACACAGGTGTCTGATTTATTTATTTATATCGGCTTTTAAAAATTATTTCGGTCGATGGCCAATAAAATAAATTATATATCATACCCTCTAGTCTCAGTGCGTAATATGATGAAATATCCTGTAATTTCAGCTCATATAGAATTGATTTCTATGGCTGTTAAATCCTTGTAATGCACTGGTTTATTTGCAGATAATTTGCTGTGTAAAAATATAATGTGATGTAAACAAACGTATACTGCTGAGAGCCAGAACACCCTGTCCAATATTAGCTACCTTTAAGGGAATTGTTGTGCAACTAAGACTGGATTTAAACACAAGGTTAGCACTAACACAAGGACTGGGCTAACATTTGGTTTTTTGGCCTAAAAAGAAATAAAACAATATTTATTCAATTAACTCACCAAAAATCAAAAGGGTTTGAGAAAAAAACAGCTAGATGTGGCCACATCGTAGACTGTACATATACATCGAGAATTTGTAGGTACTTAATCAGGAGAATTATGACCTAGCTTTCGCGACTAACAACAACTAGCATGTTGAGCTAATGTAGAACTTTAGCCTCCTACCTCAAAAGAAGCCTCGAGTTCATCCACCAAAGTGTTGTTTCCCTGGGGCCGGGGAGCGGTGCTGGGGAAGCCTGGCTGACCGGGTCCACCGGGACCCCCAACGGAATGCGGACCGGTCGGCTGCTGGCCTGGAAACATCCCACTCATGGACGAGGACATCTTGCTCTTACTGCGGTTAGCAGAGGCGCACTAAACGTCATCGGGTCTAGGGGCCAGCGGAGTACCCACCCCCCTCCACCAAAACCCCCAAACTAAACAGTGATGTAATAAATGTTCTAATGAAACAAGGAGTAAATATCTGATTTATCTTTGAAGAGATAGTTTGAATCAGGTGCACGATATACTGAGACTGTCTCTGATGTGCCCCAGGCTTAAGCAATTTGGTGCATTCAATTCTCATTTGTTATTCAGGAAACACGGAAATACTTAACAAGAAGAGAAGATTCCTAAATAAATGGAACATCCAAACACCATTTTTGTTGGTAAACTGCTGTTTAAAGGTACACTTAGTAATGCTGTCATATTAATAAATAATTTTATTGAGCCGATAGGTGCCAAATGACCCTTTAAAAGTTGAATGAATAACCTCTGTCCTTTCTGCACCATGTGGGCCAAATACCCCATTTACCTTAGCCTTGCCTGCCAGACTCCTCCTCTGTTTAATTCTGCACAGAGAAAGGGTTTGCTAACTCTCCTATTCATCCCATCCCCTGAGAATTCTAACCAAGCCAATCAGTTCTGAGGAGCGTACGTCACACACCATAACGCTGAGTTTGTCAAACATGGCGACTGAAGCGGAGTTCGCTGCAGCTCTTTTCTTTGATCTAAATGACTTGGACACGTCATTAAAACCACAACAAGTAGAAGCTCTAAAAGCCTTTCTTCTAAAGAAAGATGTTTGCGCTGTCGCCAGTTGCCATTTTTGACTACAGCTGAAAAACTACAGTTTTGCGGACGTCACACACAACGACGTTAAACAACAAAGACAGCGGTGGAGTTTGCTGCAGCTCTTTGACTTGAATGCCTTTAAAACCACAAGTAGAAGCACTAAAAGAATTTCTTCTTCTAAAAAAAATGTTTGTACTGTTGCCAGACACCTTTTTTTTACTACAGCTAAAAAAAACTAGTGTTGCACGGCACAGTCTGGATTTTTGTCTTTTTTCTGATTGGTTATTTTTGAGCTGCCTAGTCCTGCCCCTCATGGGCCTCTCTGCCTGTGAGTTATCAGACTCTTTCTCTGTGCAGAATTAAACAGAGGATGGCTGTGATTTAAAAGGGACACTAGGGGTTGTTAGGTTTAAAACTGCCTAGTGTCCCTTTAGGAACTGTTGCTAACATTGTTTATGCTGCTGGAGTTGAAGAGAATACATCACAGCTGGGTGGAAATCACAGAGCCAGACTGTTCTTTCATGAAACCACACTTTTAGGGTATAGTAAAATTTGATGCTCAGAACAAAATAGTATGGCCTTTATTGTTGTTATTGGCTACTTTTATTTAGAAAGTAAGGTTTCTTTTCACATGTAAATTACATAGTAGAAAAAACTTTTGTGAAAGAAAAGCACAAATGCCTAAAAATCCTTCAACTGTAAACAGTAAATCTTCATCCAGCTGTTTTACAAATGATTTTCCTCCTCAGATCACAGACAGGTCTGTTTACGCTGCTTTCTATCAGACTCTTTTCCATGGATGAAGATCACCATTCAAGTCTTGAAGAACATTATTCTGTGCCATCAGGTTCTCAGTAACTGTGGGGCCAACTTGGCAGCAAACTCCACTAGCGTGCGTGTTGGTCTTCCAGACATCCCTTTCCTCAGGTAGGGAATTTCATCTTTGTTACTCATCACACCAGCAATGTCCAGATGAGCCCAGTGAGGAGCTGTGACAAACTCCCTCAGGAACGCAGCTGCTGTGCACGCACCTCCAGAACTAGAAGCAACCAAAAACAGAATTACACACCTGCAAAGCTGATGCTACAGCCAGGAATGATTACTGTGCGTAGTGGTGAGATACGTACCGGCTGTATTTGCCGATGTTGTTGAGGTCAGCCAGCTGGCTGTCAGTTACTTGCTTCGAGTAATGTTGGAACAGAGGCATCCGCCAAACTCTATCACCTGTCACAACACTAGCCTACACAGAGACATTCATCATTCGTCAACAAAGAAGCTGAGAGACTGACAGCATATGTTTGTGGTGTTGCTGTGGTACCTTGTGTAACTGCTCCCACAGCCAGTCAGAGTTGGTAAACACTCCTGTTGCTGCTGAGCCCAGAGCTACATCCATTGCACCTTAGATACACACATTAGCCATAATTTTAGAATTACTTACGATGTTTCAGTTTTCTTGTTTATTAATGTTTGATTTAAAAAAAACACCACGGTGAGAAAAACTAACCTGTCAGTGTTGCAACATTGACGATGGCTTTAGGGTGGAAAGCGTGTGCATAACAGAGTGCATCAGCAAGTATCAATCTGCCCTCCGCATCTGTATTATCAACCTGAATAAAACAATTATCATTAGTCTATACACAGATGTGCACTCAGACAGCTGTTTGAACCTGTCAGGTGTAATCGTGGCTCCACCCACCTGGATTGTTTTCCCATTTTTAGCTCTGACAACATCCCCTGGTTTAGTAGCCTTTCCACTTGGCATGTTCTCACACAGCGGGGCCAGACCTGATGGAGTCAGAGAGCCCTTTTTTAGACAAGATGTCACTCATGTCCATCATTTATGGACAAATGTAAACGTTATAGACAAAAGGTTCACTGAGAAACATAATAATGGTTAGTTTTACAAGCCGAGAGGTACCCTGGTCTCTCCTTGACGCTACATCAACAGCCTTTCCTGATATGAGCCAAGATGGGTGAGCCATGAATGCTAATATTTCAACATGACATGCAATTGTCTGGCTTTTCTAATCCGAGTGTTTCCCTGTCAATTTTCTATCAGCAACTAATAGAAAGAATACAGCGCCTCTCAAGATTAAATTCACGAGGCTTGTGTCAGGCAGGTGCCATCACTTCTGGTTTGTAAGTCTCACCTGAAGACTCATTTTTATGTGATGGTGTTTCAAAATTAGGAACCACATAGCTTTAATTTTTTATTGTTGTTCAGCTGGTTTAACATGTTTTTATGTTAGTTTTCTGATTTTATTCAACATAATTTTAATGTTTTAATGATTGTTTTTCCTTCTTTTTCTTTTAATGGTACACAACATTATATTTGTTCTTATCGTGAGTTTTATGATTATGTTCAGCACCTTGGTTTGCTGATAAGGTAGTGGAAGGTGCTTTATAAATAAATAAATGAAATGGAATTTACAAGAACAAAAGTTTAATAAAATAAAATAATTATATATTTTTTAAACACATAAAAATGAGAAAAATAAAAAAATGTAAGGAAAGGGAGACAAAATGAGTAAGAAAAAGGTAATTAGTGGATGCCAGGAAAGGTAGGATTAGCAGAAAGAGCTGAATAGGAAGGGGGTAGTGATGACATGCAGGAAATGGGGGTAGAAGACCATTTTTGCATTTAGCTTGTTAAAATCAGACTGGCCAATCATATTTCGCAAACAACAAGTTAACTCAGTGTCAACCAGCTCAGTGGCCGCGTGTCCACCCTGAGACTGGGAGATCGGGGTTCAAATCCCAGTTGAGTCATACCAAAGACCTTAAAAAGGCCTCCCTGTTTGACACCCAGCTCTAAGGGGTTGGATTGGGGGATTAAACCACCAAATAGTTCCCGAGTGCAGCTGCAGCTCACCGCTCCCCATGGGGATGGGTCAAATGTGGAGAACATATTTCACCACACATCAGTGTATGTGACAACTGATAGGACTTAAAAAAAACACTTTCTCAATGAACTTGGTCTATAAACAAGCTGAAATCCACGGTGAATGTAAATGGATGGATGTAGACTGAGTTAGTAAGTCTGCACTTACACCATGGAGTTCTGAACTTAGTAGATGGGGGTTTGACCATTTAGAGCAGAACACCAAATGCCCCAGTTAGCTCCATCAGCAGAATAGAATGATTATTAAATGAATAGATCCAATCCCAGGCTTACCAATAATGTTGACTGGGAGATTTAGAGCTGCTGCTGTGACAATAGATGCACAAACAGTGGCGGCTCCACCCATATCAGCTCTCATTGCATCCATGGAGACAGACGGCTTCAGAGAGATGCCTCCGCTAGGAAGAAGAGGAGGACACACACAGGCTTGTGTAACTAAGGTGAAGTGAATTACAAAGCTAATGAGCAAGCGTGTGCTTTTATACTCTACCTGTCAAATGTGATCCCTTTTCCCACCAGCAGCAGCGGCGGCTGTTTACTGTCAGGTGAACCATTGTAGTGTAGCTCCAGGAAAACAGGAGGCTCCTCTGAACCTTTTGCTACACTAAGGAAAGCTCCCATCTGTTGCTCCTCAATCCAAGCTTGTGATCTGAAAATGATGAGTAAGTTAATTCTTCTGACACTCACATTTGAAAGCTTAAAGACCAAGCTCTCAGAGAAATCGTTTACATATTATTTTGAAATATGATCGATCACTGGCATGCAGGCTAAACATGAAAATAGTCTTCTACCCCCGTTTCCTGCATTAGATAGAAAATAGACTGGGAAACACTCAAATTAGCAAAGCCAGACAATTGCACTTTACGTTGTCAAATTAGCACTCATGAACTCACTTGTCTCGGTTCATAACAGAGAATACTGTTGTTGATTTGGTGGGCAGGAGACACGTCTCGGTTACTAGAAGCTAACAGTTAACATTAGCAACACTACAACACGGCAGAACTCCTTCAGGCTTGAGTGGGGATAAAAAAAACAATGGTGCATAACAAACGGAGTCATAGGGAGCCTAAGTCTCCTCCCTTTCCAGTTGGCTCATGGGTCCCCGGAAGAACGAAAAAATTATTGCAAGTCAACGGGGTTAAAAGAGCTATTTAGTAATCCACTTTTAGGGATGCACCGATGGATCGGCATTTGATCGTAATCGGCCGATAGCGCCCCTATCGGTTTTGATCGGAGTTTTCAAAATAGATCAAAGCAGACCGATCAGGTAGGGTTGTCACGGTAACCAGTGTAGCGGTAAACCCCGGTAAAAAAAAGTTGACAATAATAATAACCGTCTTGTTTTTTAAAAAACTATATTATCTCGGTGGGTTTACCGTGGCTGCGGTGTAGGCGCGGTGACCCTTACCAGCCACCGTATCATCTGCTGAAGTTGTGCGCTTTGTTGTTTACAACCAAAACTTTCTTGAAGCTAAAGCTGAAATAATGGCCAAAGGAGGAGACGGCAGCTCTCAGGACATTTTTTATCCCTCAAAGAAGACAAAGTGGGAAGTACGGGCATCTTTTGGATATTTGAAGAATGCCGAGGGACAGTTTATAGAAGACGGCTATCCTGTTTGCAGCACGTGCAGAAAAAGTGTCTGTGAAAGGCAGCAACGCTTCAAATCTCATGACACATCTGCGTGACCATCACCCACAACTCTACAGTCAACGCAAGGCAAGCTAACGTTAGCGTTTTAGCTAAAATGCGTGATCCGAGGATTTGGGTTGAGGGAGAATGCAACGAGTACCTATATAAAGCAGCCGCAGCGCCGCTACCTGCATATAAACCGTGCCGCGGACACCGCCATGTTGAAATGACGCTATGCATTACGGGGCTCCCAGGGGCAGATAAGAGTTGGTCTCTCTCCGAGAATAATTATGAATTTAACAATGATTACTGCCTGATGACATTTTCCCACATCTGCAAAGCTCACTGGAACACAAACCGAGGACAATATTTTCCTGATATAGGGTTTATTACTCAAGTAAGGGTAAAAAAGTATCTGATTAGAAGGCTACTTGAGTACTGAGTATCATCTGGTCTAATATTTTTAAAATGATGACATCAAACAGACATAAAATAAGAAGTTATGGGCAAATATTGGTATTTTAAAGACTAAAGGGGAAAAATGTAAACAAATAAACAACATAATTACAAAATAACACATTTTAGGCTAAATTTAGACACAAACTGAGGACGATATTTTCCTGACATACAGGGTTTATTTAATTGTGTGAAAATGTAGCATGTTTAAAAAAAATATCGCGATAATACCGAAAAACGTGGTAATTTTGGTCACAATAACCGTGAGGTTATATTTTCACACCGTGACAACCCTAATACAGACCATTTTAGATTAGGTTACATTTCCTTTATTCCCAGATTATGTAGTTTGTAGCACTCATTATAATGTTGTAGAAAATTTCTGGCCAATCCACGTGATCGGTATCAGTGATCAGCATTCTTTGATATCGATATCGGTGATCGGCAGCAAAAGACCTGATCGGTGCATCCCTATCCGCTTTTCCTTATGCCCTGAATCGCACACATGTTGTACTGCAATTTAAATGAAAACTAATGATGGGTGTTTCAACCATGCCAGTCACGTACTTTCGAGATTTATCAGCTTTTAAAAGTTCATAATTAGAATGACTACAAAGCAGACATAGGCACGTCGCATTTATGACGTCACCACATAATCTCTTCTCCTCTAGCGTAGCTGCTACTTATCAAATGGCCAGATTTATGGTGGCTGTTTTCATCCTGAAGGAAGGATTGTAAGTAGGGATGGACAATATATCGGCACCAGTATCAGTATCGGCCGACGTTGGTCATTTTTTAACATAACGGTATCGGTTCGATAAATGAAACCGGGCTGATATTAACAGATGTTTTTTCCGTCTCATCTCCATTTGTTTGCCTGTTTTAGAGGGTGAGGGGGTGATGTGTAATTATTTAGTCATGTGAACAGTGAGTGAAATCATCTCGGAACCATAAATGTGTGTGTTGTGTGTACATAATAATGTAAATTCAGCTTCAATCATTTTCATTCTATACAAAATCTGCTGATTTTAGAAGCATTAATGTCAGTATATCAGTAAATATCGGTTATCAGCCATAACAGTGATCTTTAGATCAGATATCAGTATCAGCACAAACATTTCATATCGGTGCATCACTAATTTTAAGTTTGCTAAACTTACAGCCATTTTCCCTCAGTGAAGCACATCTGTAGTCCTGGACTTATTTTCACACAAAACCTAAAATAACGTTTCCCCCGTTGGAAAATTAAGTGCGGTCTTGGTATCAACATGTGTCTTTAAAATTCCTGAACATCATATTTGAAATCCATAACACAAAACAAGCAGAATTAGAATATTGTGTTTTTGGTCCCGTTGACTTGCATTCATTTTTTTTCATTCTTCCGGGGACTCTTACAACAAAGAAAGATTTTGACAAAATACTAACTTAACAATAAATCCTTAGTTTCAAGTAATCTTGCTGATAACAAAAAAAAAATTAATAAAAAAAAAGAATGTATTAATAATTCTATTTACCGTTTGGTGTATTGAAGGCACACTTGGCAGTTTTGCTTGCTTTTAGCACCCCCTAGTGTTAGTTATTAATTCTCAGTGGTCAAACTGAAAGAACTTATTTCCTTGCTGTGTGTTTGTCTTTTTGACACCTTAATCTAAATGCTGAAATGTCTCCTCAGTCTTCATTGGTTTCTACAGGAGTGATTCATCACTAAATTAAACAAATAAACTGTGTTCATGATCTAAAACAAGCAGAAAACATGATGGAACCAGACTACAGCGCCAGGTATGTCAGCTCAAAGTCCATCAGGTGGCGGTCGCCAGTCTGAAGTTGCAAATGTGGTATTCTGACCACAGGGGGTGGTGGGGGTCTGAGTGACATTTCATTAATCTTGTGTAAAAGGTCATTTTAGCACATACTGGCTCAGGAAAATGATTTAAAAATATGAAAAAGTTGCATAGTATGCCTTTAATGAAATCCTTCTGTACTTCTAAAACTAAATAAATGCTAAGCGATTTAAAATACAATTTATATTTATTTTTCCTAAAAGTACTGACATAAATAATGTTCTCACATAATTTAAAAACTGGGTTCCTATGAGGACAATCTTTAAGACTCTTTAAGTAGTAGTTGAATTTAACTGAGACACATTTATGATACAGAATCAGTTTCGTTTTTCTGAAAACTGCTAAAATGAATCCTAGTAAATCTGTTCCATCAGCATCGTCGACAGATGCACTAACCGTTTACTTATTGTGACTCGTTCGGCATGTGGAGCCAGTTTCTCTTCAATGGTGCTGGCAAAAGCAGTAGGAGTGATGTGATTGGCAGGAGCCTCCATGAGAAATCTGGCCAGATTTTGGCCTTCTCCATACACAACGCCTTTCTTCCAGCAGTCCACATCAGAGCTGGCAAAAACACACACACAGAACCACCTGTTGTTGCACTTGTGAAGGCCAGCTGGTACTGACTGGCCACAGAGCTCTGAATTGTTAGTTAACCTTCCGTGAAGCTGCGTTGTTACTTTGATCTTCTTCTTAGACTTGAGTTGGTCATAGTTAAACAAGCCCAGAACAGCGCCTTCTGCTGCTGATTGAGGGTCACCGCAGCCATCCACTTCAACGTGGCTCACCTCCAGCTCCTGAAGTGATCTGCAACCAACTGAACACACACAAATACAAATTATCAGCATAATGACAACTCTTACTGATCCACCTATAAGCAGATGAAGGTGTGTGTTACCTGAAACAGCATGCCTGATGTTCTCCTTCCCTGCATCCCAGTTCTCAGCTCCACACACACCTGAATCGCTCTTGCCCAGCCCGACTACTGCCACACAAGGGAAGTCCTGAGGAGGGAAACACAAGGAAGGATACATTGAAGTGACGATGAGATGGAGCTCATCAAGCACATTTTGTTACCTGGTGGATTCCATAAAATATCCTGTTTTTGCCTTTCTTGAGCCCAGGTCCAGCTCTGGGAAAACAAAAAACGTCTAAGTGTTTACCTGCTTATATGACCATGTCTATTTTGCGTCAAACATTAAAAAGGATCAATGAGAGCAAATGTAAAGCTGATGTTTACAAGGCAAATGATAAATTAATGTTAAGTCAGGGACATCCTGCCAGTTCATTGAAGACTCACATGTGCAGCAGCTCTGAGAGTTTTCCACACACACTCTGATCAAACCTCGCTGCTGATTCAGTCAGATGAAGAGCACCCTCATCTCCCTCCTTCTCAAACACTCCCAGCACCAAACCCTGCAGAGACACACAAACACACAGCTACCACCCATGCTGCTCAGTGGTAAAACTGTTAGGTAAATACTCACGTTTCTCTCCTTTAGGTGAGGCCGTGAGGCAGAAAATGACCGGTTGATATTTTTCCTCACCGCCGACTGCACAGCTTTCCTCACAACAAGCATAGTCACCTGCTGCACATGAATTATTACAGTTAATCTGTTGGTTTATCCACTCAGAGGTCGAACACTTCACATGGAGAAAAAAAAGCCAAACGACCTTTTGGGTCGCGTTTAGTTTACGTCATCAGTAAACGACCTTTGGCGCCATCTAGCGACGGGGAAAACGAGTCTATTCTCTTATATTTTTCTGTCAGCACCATCAAACAGTTTACATTTATTTTATTTTTGTACATTTTTCTTTCGAACACCCAAACATTCTCCTGATGAACGTCTTTGTCTCTTACTATTTAAACATGTTTTTTGGTGGAAAAATATATTTCTTTGCCTTTCAAACTCTTATTCTGCAAAGTTTGGTTAGCAACAAAAACACTGGGATACCTAATATTTTTGATGTTGTTAATGGGTACATGTTACATTTTAAAACAGGTCATGTGATCAGATCACTGTTAAGTTTAATGTAACATTCAGAGTGAGATTATCTCTGTGGTGTGTAAACGCTCCCCATTCACCTTCCTGTTGTCTTGTTTTACCAGATTCTTGGCCTGTTTGGGTTACAAGAACTTGTTCTTTTTGGATTTTAATTAAATTTTATTCTTAAGTTCCCCAGTTTGCCTCCTGCTCCAACATCAAACCACACAACTTGCACCTTTTACCAAGGCATAAGCAATCTTGATGGATTTTCTTGATTTAAAGTGATTTGATTGAGGATAAGGGTTTTATTCTGTTCCTGGATTTCTACACTCATTTTGATATGTTAGAATATCAGCTTCTTTGTATGTTTTAAACGGGATAAAATATGCTAATCTCATCCTCATGTAATATATAGACACAGGAAAAACTGCAGTTCGGCCATTCTGAAAAGAGATTTGTTGCTGATTCAGAGAACACATGGGTTTGTTCAGATAGAGGCACAGTGAGGAAGATATCTGCCAAACAAATAGATCAAATTAAGACAACAGCCACTCAAACACCATCACAAAACAGCAAACAGGTATTTGAAGCTGCTGGTGCCTCTGAAGTCCTCTGAACTGGAAGACATGGGATCGTCTAGAGGCTGGAGTTGTATAAACTTTCTATTCAGCCCTGATGTTTTGTTTTCTAATGCAGTCCTAGATGGTACAGATAGATGGAGTGGTGGACGGTTGGTGGACGACCACCATGTCCCAACAAGGCTGCAATATCAGCAAGGAAGATGCAGGATCACGTTTTGGGTCAGAATCATGAAAGTTAGTCAGCCTTCTAACAAAGTATGTGAAAAGCTTTCTGTTACAAAGTCCATTGATAACCCACTATGGTTATGTTACTCATTAGGACACTAGTCTGTAGATGATGCAATCAACATGGCTTTACACTTCATCCTGCAGCATCTGGATGCCAGGATCCTGTTTGTGGACTTCAGCTCTGCCTTCAACAAGACTAACTGTCAAAGCAACAAGTGAGGATGGGGAAGAATCTCTCTGACCTGCAGACCATCAGCACCAGTTCCCCTCTGGGCTGTGTTCTCTCCCCCCTGCTCTTCTCCTCGTACACCAATGGCTGCATCTCCAACAGCAAGTCTGTCAAGCTTATCAAGTTTGCAGATGACACCACCGTCATCTGAGTTACCTCTGACAGGGATGAGTCTGCCTAAAGAATGGAGGTCAAATCGCTGGTGTCCTGGTGCAGCAACAACAACCTGGTGCTAAACACCCAGAAGACAGCAGAGGTTGTTGTGGACATTAGGAAGCACACAGCCCCCCAACCTTGTTTAACACTCCCATCATGATGGTGGACTCATGTTGCTTCCTGGGAACCACCATCAACCAAGACCTCAAGTGGGATCCCACCATTACCTCTGTCATAAAAAAGGCCCAGCTGAGGATGAACTTCCTCAGGCATCTGAAGAAATTCAACCTGCCAGCACAGTTGATGAGGCAGTTTTACACCACAGTCATCGAGTTCAGCCTCACCTCCTCAGTCACTGTGTGGTACGCTGGAGCTACCACCAGGCACAAGAATAAGCTGCAGAGTGTTGTACACTCTGCTGAGAAGGTCATTGGCTGCAAACTCCCCTCCATACAGGATCTGTACACCCCCAGGAGATTGAGGCGTGCAGGTCGGATCACAGCTGACCTGTGCCACCCTGGACACAGTCTCTTTGACTCGCTCCCATCTGACAGGACCAGAACCTCTCGCCACAAGACAGTTTCTTCCCCTCTGCTGTTGTCTCATGGACGACAATCCTAGCTCTGCCCACTCCAGTGGCTTGGTTCTAGTCACCTGACACCTGTGTTGTGTTTGTACCTGAACTGATCCACTCTGATCAGTACCTACACTGTCTTGCATATATCAGCCATTTCTCTAAGTGTTTCCACTTATTATTTTCTTACTCCCTATATTTTCTTATCTCCTATTATTATCTCCCTTTTCTTTGTCACCCAGTACCGCAGCAATTTCCTAATGTTGTGATTCTTGCACATTTAGCAGTAAAACCCTCCTGATTCTGATAGGACACTGTAGTTTTATTAGATTCACAGAATTCCTACTCAGGCCTTGCTAAGACGATTCACATTCTGACTGATTTTTACAACTTTGTATAGTGAGTCATCATCCAGGTGAAGAGGATGGCAGTACTACTCATTTAGGCAATGTCCCATCACACCATCTGCATGATTCTAGTGTGGGGTGCTCTATTTCTGCATATATCTACTGCTGATGTCTAGAGCCTTTTGAGGGCATAGGCGAGCATCAGTGGGGATCTGAGGATGTTTGCAGTCACTAAAACCACATTTTAACCGGTCAGGTGCAGATCTTAATAGAATCTTAACCCTGCATAAAACAAAGAGGATTCTTATAACAATTTTCTGGAAAGGCAAATGTTCTTGTGTGGAGATGAACTAGAAAGTGCACCACCCAACTTTTTCCCTTACGTTATTTTTTGGCATGTGCACCTTAAGAAAAAAACAATCACACTAACTTTGCATCACCATCTACATGCCCCTTTAACTCTCTTGTAAACCAGTTATTACTGAATTAGGTGACTTTTTATGGTTTTTCACAGATCATGCTGGACAAACAGAAGTTAAAACAAAGAGCCTGACTTACACACAAAAAGCATGAAATAATACTAAAAGCACATAGAAATTACATTATGCACTTATAATAATAAAAGACTTCTTTGTAACATGTTAACTATTACAGAGTGCACAACTCATTCGGGGATGATCGCAACAGATCTTATTCGGTTCAGTCAGCATCAAAAAGCAGAAACAAATATATGAGTGTATTTGCCAGTGTTTGGTCTTTTATCTGTTTGCTCCTGGAGGATTCAACGGCCAGTGGAGTCACATCCATTAGCTTGTGGCTGCAAAGTAACAATGCTATTGTTGTGTGATTTTCTTTCAAATATGTCCTCAACTCATTGGCATCATTTCCCTTCACTGAGCTAATTGAACTAGCTAATTATATCTACGCCATTATGCACAAAAATGTGTTAGGTCTTGCTCTATGATGGAACTTTTACTGTCATATGTGACTTTCTTCTCTATCACCATAAAATCTATTTCATAAATTGCTCTGAAAGAGGGATCTCAGCCACCACCTATTCAAATAGTTTTGATTCCTAAAGTAAAACACAGTGTCATCAGTTCTTGGGCAGATTCTGATTTACAAACCAAGGCTAATTTCATATGTGGTCCATTTTGAATCATACAGGCAGAGGTGATAAATCAGGTTCACGTCATAGATACGTTTCTTGATTCCCTTTACTTTCATCACTTAGAGGCTCAAGATTAAAAAATATATTTCTCATTTGTTTTTCATATTCTGAGATTAGTTATTTTTTTCACCCATAATCCAAAGTTTACAGGCCTTTGGACAATAAAGTTGGTCCAAGAACTTTACAGCAATTCCTTTAAAGACAAAAGGTTACAGACAGACAGTTTTTATGCTCATCATCCATCAGTGGTGGACACATTAACAGTTCATCAGTAGAGCAGATCCACAGAAGAGATGGTGGGTTGTTCTGGTTTCTTGATCTCTGGTTTGGGCAACTTAAAGCGACTCATGGCAACCACTCCACAAACAGCAAAGTGAGTCCCAACGCTGCCAACCCCCAACCAGAAAGACCAGTCCAGAGAGTCATCCAGCACAACCAGAACAAAGAGGTTCTCTTTATAGTTCGCCACTCGCTCCGTCAGACGGTGATGCCTCAAAGCTGCCAGGAAACACAGAACACCGAGGGCACCAAACAGAGCTGCAAACAAGGTGTAGAAGATCAAGGGAATGAAGGACTCACTAGAAAGGAACATTTATTTCCTTGACAGAAAACATTAACAATAGAACAAAAGGAATTAAAAAACAGACAAGATGTGCACCAAAACAAAGATGAATGGTTTACTTACCAGCTATGAAGTTCCACAGATAGAGTCCTTTGTGTCCTTTGATGCTCTGGTAGGGGACTTTACGAGCATTATAAATGCTGAAGGACAGACTGACCAGAGCAAAGCCAACAGCCACCAAAAGGAAAAGAATCACCATCATGTGAAGACCACTGTTCAGTGTCTGCACAAGGTTTGGGAAAACTGTGGAGGTAAACGAAGCAGAAGGAACAAAACAGCTTTCTCTCATCTTTTGCCCCCTTGATGATGATGATGATTAATCTTTTAGTCAAGATTAATCATCTGAAGTTGTACCAAGAACGTTCAGCCAACATTATCCCAAATGTCATCATTTCCTTTGTTGAAGCGGTAAATACTAATGGCAGCATGGATTTAAAAAGTTTCATTAAAGATTTTATCAAGTTTTTTTCTTACTGTAGATTTTGGATCGTCTGGTTCCGAGACCACACTTCTTGGTCTTTCCTCCCTGGAATAAACCATAATAAATATCCCCAACGAACTGGTTCAGTTCGGGGTGAGACGCATTCACTAAGTCCACTCCAGTTTGACACAGAATCCGTCCGGTAACCCACCGCTCCGTGGACAGGGCCACCACCAGCAGGCCCACGGAGCCGACGCACAGCACAGAGGCCACAGAGAATGTGATCCGCTTCCACAAAGAGGGCATCTTACAAGCCCATTGTGCCCCGTGGGGGGTAAGACACCGGGGAGCGACCTCGGGGAGCGCCCGGTGATCACCATGAGTTTATCCTACAGTTGAGGAACGGAATGGTTCGGCCTACAAGCACAAAATCCCTGATTGTCTCCGCGATGGTGCATGCAAGTCATACTGGAAGAGAAACTGAATCTGAGAGAGAATGTGAGCTTGCCAGGAGAAACATTATCCCCCCTCTCTCTCTCTCTCTCTCTCTCTCTCTCTCTCTCTCTCTCTCTCTCTCTCTCTCTCTCTCTCTCTCTCTCTCTCTCTCTCTCTCTCTCTCTCTCTCTCTCTCTCACACACACACACACACACACACACCTCTTTTTCATGCGACAAATTAAAATGTGCAAGTCGAGATTTGGATGCAGATTATTTATGGTGACCTTAGCAGAAGAAGCAGTTGAACAACATCTCATTTGCAGTTAAATGTCATTTGCATAAGGTCAACTCAGATTTAAACCAATGAGCTTCTTCGAAGTTTTATTGTCCACTGTGAAGCGTGACTTTCCTATTAGTTACTTTGTTGTTAGCAAAGGTGGAAAAAGTACTAAAATTTCCTACTTAAGTACGAGTACCAATACTTTGATAATTTTTTACTCAAGTACAAGTAAAAGTACTTGCCTAAATTTTTACTCAAGTAAAAGTAAAAAGTATCATAAACAAAATGTACTCAAAGTAAAAGTTACTTAGTTACATTTATGTCAGCGTAAGGATGGCTACATCTAAGTAGTGCTAAATCACAGCGCCAGTTCACAATTCGTTCATGTGTGTGCAGACACACACACACACACACACACACGCGCGCACGCGCGCACACACACTTGCATGACTAATTTAACTACATTGAACTGCTTTAGTAATACTTTAATCTTTTATTCTGGAGTAAAATAAAGAAACAAGCTAAATCATCACATATCTGTGGCATCAAGAAGCATCTTCTGAGTTCAGACACAGGGATGGAGCACAATGTTTACACCTGAACAGTATCAGGATGTTTTAACTCACAGAGGCCTGCAGGTCTTGTGTTTTATGAGCAAAGCACTGAGAATCCACTCGTCATGAGCGCTAAACGTTATTTTGCCGCTTCCGTGCGGAGCGGCAGGGAGACACATTTCAAACACGGAACCGAGTCCGGCTACCGAACCAAGTGGAATTGTGATGACATCACACCGGTGCGCAAAGGTGCGGGTTCCAATCCACAGAAGAGGAGAGAGAGGAGGTAAACAGCGAGTGGATCACAGGGACTACAACGGAAGTTACGGTGTAACTAGGTTATGTGAGTTCCTGGATGACTGCCAGTGGCAGTAAACAGAGTGGATGTATCTCCTCGCGCTCTGCGCAGGTCGAGCACTAATGTAAACAAAGTTACGCACGTGACACGTAGCGCACCTGGTCGCGAGTCTATAAATTACGCGCCGATAGCTACGTTCGGGTCTCCCGGGATCTTCTCGCCCGAGAAGTTCCGAGTGACCCCTGTGACTGGCAGTCATCCAGGAACTCACAGAACCATAGTTACACCGTAACTTCCGTTCTGTTTCGTTCCCTCCTGACTGCCAGTGGCAGTAAACAGAGTGGATGACTTATGCCAGCAGTGTCACGAGGAACGTAAAACTTACCCCCACTCAGAACCCAGATAGCAAATTCTTTTTGGCCCTAGTTTGGCAAGCCAGTCTCTTTTGGATGGAATGATGGGCCAAATATGGCCCGAATTAGGCACACCAAAATAGAATTATGCATTGTCAAAAGGTTGCCACTAGCCAGAATAATTTTTGGCACTAGTTTGGCATGCCAGTTTGGTACTCTTTTGGATGGAATGATGGGCCAAATATGGCCCAAATAAGGCACGCCAAAATAGAATTATGGATTGTCAAAAGGTTGCCAGAATTCTTCCAATATAAATTGTGGAATTCCAAAGCACAACCACAACTATACCAAAAGAACCCCAAAACACCACAAAATGGCCAAAGGATATCAAAGTGTAACCATAAGTTTGCCAAAAGATTACCCAAAATAAAATGTGGCTTTCCAAAGCATAGCCATAACCATCCCAAAATCCCACAATAAAGCCAAATATGAACCATAATGTTGAGCGTTGCAGCATCAATCGCGTTGAACTCGAGGAAAGAAAGATGGGACCAAAACTGCTTTCTTCTTGTGTCTTTTATTAGAACTGCGACACACACATCTTAACGTCCACACCGGAGACTTCGTTCTTCTCAAGTAAGCGTTACGTAATGACGCAGTGTGCGTGCCCCCCTAGTGGTGAACAACTAAAAGCACAACCTGCTCAATAACACCAGTTTACACAGCTTAGAACATGAGTACACAAGTTTGAACATCTCAACACCCCCTCTTGAACTCATGTTGCTCAAGTCTTCAAAAAAAAACCATTGGTTTTAATAACTTGTTTTTCCCCTCTTTGTCTCTTCTAAACACCAAACACAATACCTGCAAACTTTCCAAGTTTTGACCTAGAAACAGGCTTGGTCATAATGTCTGCAGCCATCTCTTCAGTAGTGCAATATAAAATAGACATCTTTCTCTCATTTACAATGGACCTTACAAAATGATATTTAATGTCCACATGTTTGCACCTTTGTCGACTCACAGGGTTATTAGCCAAAGCGATCGTCCCCTGGTTGTCCTCATACACCACTGTCTGTGTGTATTTGTAGTTGTCAATACCTCTCAAAAGCTGTTCTAAATATATACACTCTTGCATTGTGGAAGCTAGAGCTATATATTCTGCTTCGCAGGTAGAAAGTGCCACAGTAGGTTACTTCTTGGTTTTCCATGAAATCAGAGAGCTGTTGTCGCATAAACTGACACAATAACCCGAAGTACTGCGTCTATCATTTTTGTCTCCTGTCCAGTCAGCATCACTGTAGACTATTAAACCTAGGTTTTCACTGTTTCTCCTAAAGCACAACTGTTTGCCTTTTGTTCCCTTTAGGTATCTTAATACATGTTTTACAGTTATCCACTGTTCTTCCGTTGGTTCCTGGAGATGTTGAGACAATTTGCTGACCACAAAACTCAAATCTGGACGGGTACATGTTACAAGATATATTACCCCCAAATTCCACTACCTCCGCTCCGCTCCGCTCCGGCACGAACTCCGGGGCAAAATCGGTCCAGTTGTAGTCAATCAGAGCAATTCCACTACTGCGGCTGTGCTCCGGCAGTGCGGCGCAGTGCACCACCCTCTGTTCCGGCGTCCGGCAAAAATAGAATCAATCCTATTTTTGCCGGACGCCGGAGCACCTCCGCAGTCAATGGACGGGAATCACAAACCGCCCAACAGGAAAAGGAGCAAGCACAACTTCCGTTTTTCACAATAAATCGATAAACAAAAGGTGTTTTTTGTTTCATATGCACAGATTTAACAACTTTTAACAACTATCAATGGCGGCTGAACTTTAAATGCACAAAAGTAAGCCATAAATACAGTTTCCACTATCAAAGTAGTCACACTTTGTTGATCCAAACACTGCTGATCTCTCAACACAAATGATGGGCAGATTAAACAGTTAATTTCGATGCTTCTCCCACACAACCGGTGTTTGGATCTAACTTCCGTGTTTATTGCTCGGACTGTATCGCAAGATCTCGAAAATCCAGCGCATGCTTGTTTGCCCACCTCAGATCTCTGCACCGGAGCGGAGCCGTTGTAGAGCGGGTACCAGTAAAAATAGAGTTCGGATCCTCTGTGCCTCTCGAGGGGGGCGGGGGGCCTTTCTGGTTGCAGACCCCTTGGGGTTCCTATGTTCTGGGGCAGCGCCTGGATCTCTGGGACTTGGAGCTTCCCCCGTCTCCTACGCATCTTTGGGGGCAGGTCTGTGGTCCCTCACACACTCTATTGGACGCTCCTATAGAGAAACCTTCCATAAACAAGCGCATGTACACACACAGGTGCTCACATGGTGCTCTCAAAAGTATGGGCTTGGGCACGTTCAACACTTGTCTCAAGGTTGTCGTTGCCACTAAATGCACTATGATTTATTATCGTGTGATTCTTCAGTTAAACAATGTTGATTTTATATTTCATCATCACGTTGACGCAGTGATAGCTTGCTCCTGATGTATTGTTGTGTGTCCCATTTTTTTCTGCTCTTCTCTTTCTGCAGGTCTAGAAGCAGACTCTTGCTCATTATTGTTTATTTTTGTGGAAACCCCCCCCCCCCTCTTCCCACCATTTGTCTTTTCCTTTCTCTTTCACCTCTGTCTCCCTGTCTGGTTGGAATTACAAAGCATTCAAAAACAATAACAATAAAATTTGAAGTATCAGGCGTGACATTTAAAGCAGACGCTTTGATGCTCCACCTGAGAATAAATCTGTAAGGCTTGTTACCAGCATTCAGACATCAATTCTGCTTGCTTCACAGCCAGACAGGACACGGTAAAAAAAAAAAAATTTGAGTTCGGAAGCGAGCGGCTGCGGAAGGCGGGGGCGGACCGGAGCGGAGCGGAGGTAGTGGAATTTTGGGGTTAGACTTCCAACAGCCTCCCTATACATCTTCACATCTTCCATCCTAGTAGCATCTCCTGTGTCACTCAACTTTTGTTCACATGGAGTATCCCTGGGCTTACAGTTCTCCATGTTAAATCTTGTCAGTATTTTGTTAACATATGTTTCTTGTGACATTGTTACACATCCATCAGACTGAGTGAAATCAATACCCAAAAAATGCTCAAATCTGCCCAAATCCTTCATCTTAAATCTGGTTGAGAGCATTTTTTCCACTTCTTCCATTTCTTTTTCATTGCTTGCCGCAATTATTAAGTCATCAACCCAAATAATGAGAATTATTTTTCCTTGTTCTGTTTCCTTGGTGTACACACATTGATCTGCGGGGTTTTGCTTAAAATTGTTTACAGTCAAGTTATCGTGCAGGATCTGGTTCCAGTTTCGACCGGATTGCTTTAACCCATACAAGGATTTCTTTAATTTACACACTAAACCTTCCCCTTCTTCATAACCTTTTGGCTGATCAACGTAGATTTCATAGTCGATAGGGGCATGTAAATACGCTGTTTTCACATCCATTTGGTTGAGTAACAGATTCTCCTGTGCTGCTTTCTGTAGAAGAACTCTTATGCTCGTCAAGTTAGCGGTTGGAGAGAATGTCTCGCCATAATCTATTCCCATTCTCTGACTGAAACCTTGGGCTACAAACCTTGCTTTGTAT